CACCACCATGCACAGCTACTTTTTGTATTTTTTTTTTTTTTTTTTTTGAGATGGTGTCTCGCTCTGTCGCCCAGGCTGGAGTGCAGTGACGCAATCTCGGCTCACTGCAAGCTCTGCCTCCTAGGTTCATGCCATTCTCCTGCCTCAGCCTCCCGAGTAGCTGGGACTACAGGCGCCCGCCACCTTGCCCGGCTAGTTTTTTGTATTTTTTAGTAGAGACGGGGATTCACCGTGTTAGCCAGGATGGTCTCGATCTCCTGACCTGGTGATCCGCCCGTCTCGGCCTCCCAAAGTGCTGAGATTACAGGCTTGAGCCACTGCACCCGGCCTACTTTTTGTATTTTTAGTAGAGACGGGGTTTCACCATGTTGGCCAGGTTGGTCTCAAACTCCTGACCTCGTGATCCACCCACCATGGCCTCATTTTCTTCCCATTAGTAACAAGACAAAATAAAAGGTCCATGATAAAAACATAAAGACTGGCTGGGCACCGTGGCTCACGCCTGTACTCCCAGCACTTTGAGAGGCCAAGGTGGGCGGATCACGAGGTCAGGAGATCCAGACCATCCTGGTCAACATGGTGAAACCTCGTCTCTACTAAAAATACAAAAAATTAGCCAGGCGTGATGGCGGGCGCCTGTAGTCCCAGCTACTCGGGAGGCTGAGGCAGGAGAATGGCGTGAACCCGGGAGGCGGAGCTTGCAGTGAGCCGAGATCTTGCCACTGCACTCCAGTCTGGGTGACAGAGCAAGACTCCGTCTCAAAAAAAAAAAAAAAATAAAAATAGTAATAATAATAAAAATAAAAAATAAATAAAAAAATAAAGACCCTGCCTTTAGGTCCAGCCCTTGCCTACCTCTCTAACCTCATTGTATGCCACACTTTCTTTTTCCCTTTATGTTAGACACACAGTTCTTGGTGTTCTTCAAGTACTATGCTTTCTTATCTTAGAAACTTCCATTTTATAGATTTTCCTTCTCTAGAACAGGAGTCAGTAAAATTTTTTAGGAGACAGCAAGATAGTTTGCCAATTCCTGATCTAAAAGGCTAATCATCTAACCCCACTGCTTACCGATTGAAATGTCATGTTCCATTGAAGCTTTTCTTAATCAACGTTAAGTGCCCTGCTAGGGACAGTGGCTCACACCTGTAATCCCAGAGATTTGGAAGGCTGAGGTGGGAGAATGCTTTGAGGTGAGGAGTTCAAGATCAGACTGGACAACATAGCAAGACCTAGTATCTACAAAAAGTTTTAAAAATTAGGCCAGGCATAGTGGTTCATGCCTGTAATCCCAGAGGAGGCCGAGGTAAGGGTATCACCTGACGTCAGGAGTTCGAGATGAGCCTGGCCAGCATGGTGAAACCCTGTCTCTACTAAAAAATACAAAAACTAGTTGGGCGTGGTGGCGGGCACCTGTAATCCCAGCTACTCTGGAGGCTGAGGCGGGAGACTCGCTTGAACCTCAGAGGCGGAGGTAGCAGTGAGCTGAGATCGTGCCACTGCACTCCAGCCTGGATGACACAGTGAGACTCTGTCTCAAAAACAAAAACAAAAAAAGGGCCAGGCGCAGTGGCTCATGCCTGTAATCCCAGCACTGTGGGAGGCCGAGGTAGGTGGATCATAAGGTCAAGAGATCGAGACCATCCTGGCCAACATGGTGAAACCCTGTCTCTACTAAAAATACAAAAATTAGCTGGGCATGGTGGCACGTGCCTGTAGTCCCAGCTACTTGAGAGGCTGAGGCAGGAGAATCGCTTGAACCCAGGAGATGGAGGTTGCAGTGAGCCGAAAGATTGTGCCACTGCACTCCAGCCTCGGTGACAGAGTAAGATTCTGTCTCAAAAAAAAAAAAAAAAAAAAAAAAAAATTAGCAGGGCATGGTGGTATGTACCTGTAGCCCTACCTACTTGGGAGGTTGAGGAGGGAGGATCACTTGAGCCCAGGAGTTCAAGGTTACACTTCAGCCTGGGCAACAGAGTGAGATATTCTCTTACAAATAATTTTTTAAAAAACAAGTCCCGTTATTAAATGTACTTGTACCACCAAATGTATTTCTCTTTCATAGAACTGGTCATGATTGCACAGTTGGCCCTTGAGCAACATGGGGGTTAGGAGCGTCAACGCCCTGTACAGTCAAAAATCCATGCATAACTTTGACTCCTCTCAAATTCAACTACCAACAACCTACTGTTGACCAGAAGCTTTACTGATAACATAAACGGTTGATTAACACATATTTGTATATGTATTATATACTATATTCTTACAATAAAGTAAGCTAGAGAAAATATTAAGAAAATCATAAGAGAAAATACCTTTACAGTACTGCACTGTTATATATTGATGCGATAAGTTTATACTGTCTGTTTACAAGATGAATCATCTGAAATGACGGCAGCTGCAGCTGCAAACTTCAATCTAAGCTACACATCAAGCACTGCAACTTTTGCTTGTAATGTCATGACTTTTCTCTGCTTCTTGAAAGTACTTCCAACATCAGTAGCCGCATTTCGTATGGGTCCCACAGTGTTATTCAAGGTTTATGGTATTGCAGTAAACATGATGAAAAATGCACAAGAACTGCAATAGATCACTTGTTATTGCAATAAGCAATTTAGTGGAGAGAGAAACTGTTCACATGCAGATGATTTAGTACACACAGGGTTTTCAGTGGATACTACAATACTTGAGCTCCTCGCAATAGCAACAGGAGGTGGTTACAAAATTATCACAGTAGTACAGTGTGTACTACAGTTAATTTCATGCAGTTATGATTTAATACCGCATCTTTACATTTTACATTTCTCTCAATTGCAAATGGTACCATGTATGATCTGTGTTTGTGTGTGTAAGTTTTGATAAATTTTAACTTTTTATAATAGAGTTGCATATATTTTATGGTAGTAAATGATAAAGATCAGTATCTACAGATATTTTATGTATTCATGACATACCTAAATTTAAAACTTCTTTTCATTATTTCTAGGCTACATGGTTTATCTGCAGGTTTTTTCAAATTGTTGCAAATCTCCAAAAAATTTTCCAATAAATTTATTGAAAAGAATCTGTGTGTAAGTGGGCCCAGACAGTTCACATCTGTGTTGTTTAAGGGTCAACTATAATTAATTAGACAGTTGTGAAATTCTTTTGCTAACACCCATCTTCTCTATAAGGATGTAAGCTCCATTACAGTGGGAACTATATCTACTTTGCTATTTTATTCCAGCATGTGGTAGAAAATGTGACACATAGTAGCAATCACTCACTCAATCAATCAATCAATGTTGAATGAATGAATCATAATTTGCTACCTGACCTTCATTCGGCACGTTTGTCTTTCTTAGGCTTAGTTCTCCATCTGGAAATGGAGATGATAAATACAGCTACTTTCAAGGCTGCTTCAAGGTACATAAGGTAACAAGTGTGAGAGCATTCTGAGAACTCTAAAGCAATACACAAATGTAAGAAAATAAATGGAAAGCTGCCCCAGGTGCACAGGACTGGGGCAAAGGCTGGCCCAATGGCCAAATTCGCTGGCTCATTTTGTTGGTCCTCTAGCTAATAATGGTCTTTACTTTTTCAAAGGGTTGTAAAAAACACAAAACAAGGAAGACTATGCCACAGAGACCATGTGTGGCCTGCAAAGTCCAAAATATTTACTCTCTGGCCCTTTACAGAAAACGTTTGCAGACCCCTGGCCTACAGAAGTGCCTGGGCTTAAGTAAATATTTTAATAGTGAATGAATAATTATTACTTTGCAAATATATGCATATTTTGGTATTTTGATGACTGACAAGCAGTGCCATTATCTGACTGCCTGTCTTCCATTCAATAAAGCAAGTAATCAACATAAAAATACCTCCCCCCTCCCCAGGCTAATATGTTACTTTACATTTAAAAAATACAAGGAGTCTATAAATATTTTCATTTCCTTCAATTATATCAAGAACTGTTTTTGAAACAGAGAAGGCAGGGATGACTGGGAACTGGTGTGGGGATACAGAGCTGGAGGCCACGCGAACTGTGTCCCCTGGAAGGGTGACTGCTATCATTGAGCATGCGGTTGTCACGTGGAAGTCCAAGTCCACAGAAACCTATTCACTGTCTGCTGTGAAATACTGAGATTGTTTTCTCCCCAGGGAATCCATTATCACACAGAAATGAGAAATGGCACATGGATAAAAAATAATAAGAGGCTGTGCTTATTGCCAAAAAAAAAAAAAAAAATCCCCAATACTGCACAAAAAGGAAAGGATTTGGAGTCAAAAGATCAAGATTCAAGTCTGAACTCTACCACTTATTCCATCTGTCACTTTGAGCAAACCTATTAGCCTCTCTGAGCTGAATTTCTTCATCAAGAAAAAGAGAATAATCATTGATGACATTTAGTGGGTGGCCTGTATGAGCCATGTGCTTTACTATATTATATTCGATCTTTCTATCAAAATGCAAAGTAGATATGATTAGTGCCAATATATAGGTGAAGAAACAGTCACTCAGAGAACTTAAGTGACTTGCTCAAAGTAATGCCACTAGAAAGAAGCAAAGGTTTTGTTTGTAGCCAAGTTCTGACTCTAGCAATGCTATTAGTGCAACCTCTGATAAGATGTTTAACCTCTTTAGACCTACTATGTGCTTAACCTTACAAAAAGCATATAAAACCTAATTTCTAGGAAAGATGATTTGAAATTCCTCCATATTGCAATATTACTAACTTACGTCTTAAAGGAAAATGGCTTTCCTCCATTCTTCCATGTTAAATCTAATTCTATGTCTTCAGAGACCGACAAAAAGAGGATGTACTCCCCTCTTTCTATGTGATAAGAACAATGTAAATTAAGGAAGCAGAAACACGTAAAATAAAAGTATCACATTTTGGGCATGTCCGGAGCGGCATCATGATGACGAATCCTACTTATTCTGCAGCAGCCCCCCTTCTGCGTGTAAACCAAACACACGCAATACGCGACACGTGAGTTGATCGTGAAGCCTTGATTACCTTTGCTTCATTATCTCATGTACTCTCCCATGCTGGACACACTGTTCCTCCAATTCTTCATTTCTTCTCTGTAACTTTCCCAATTTATCATAGGTATACCTTTTTTCTTGACTGAGTTGAGCAATTTCAGATCTAGAGAGGTGAAAACACAAAAATAATAGATGTTAAAGGTTCTTATTACTAGGGCATATTGTTATTATATAACCTTAACATTATCTTAAACTCCATACTTAAACATAATAGTGTAATGAAAACGACATCCTTTGCAAAAGAAAATATTTCAGAAATGGCAAGATACATTGTAGAGACTCACGTGTTAGAAAAAGGAATAACAACTTATTCTAATAGAAATGGCTTCCCTAAGGAACAAGACAAAAATGATAATGATCAAATCTCTTTCTTAAAAGACTATCATTTATGTAACAAATACTTACTGAGTGCTTGTTATAGGCCAAACACTATGCTGTCAAAGAAGAAACCCTAGGCCTAATTTCTATCACAGAGTTTCTTTTAATTAGCATAACCAGCTGAATGGCACACGGTTAAAATAAAAATAGTTCTTTAATGGTTAATTTTATGTGTCAACTTAGTTGGGCCATGGTGCCCAGACATTTGACCAGACATTATTCTGGACATTTCTGTGAGGGTGTTTTTTAGATGATATTAACATTTAAATTAGTAGACTTTGAGAAAAGCGGATTGCCCTCCACCTCGGCGGGCTTCCTCCAATCCACTGAAGGTCTTAATAGAAAAAAGATTGACCTCTCCTGAGCAAAATGGCAATATCCTGTTTTCGTGTCTTAAATGACAATCCAAGTCTCAAAATTTGAAGATCAGAAAGATGTTTATCCAAGAAAAATTATATTCCTTTCCTTGTATTAAGTAAACTCTAAATTTCTGCCTACTGCCACCATCTCCTCACGCCCTAATGCCTAATCAGTTAGAATGGAGAGTTTAAAACTCTTGTATATTATGAGTCGTTTTCAGGTTAATAATTGGTTTGTTTCCTGAAGACTCCTGACATAAAATTAATTCCCTTCAAAGAAAGGATTCTTCCAGTAGGCAAGATAGCCTTTTCTTCCTGGTCAGGAAAGGATTTGGATTTGCTAAGGGAAATTTTACTTTACAAATTGTTAATCCCAAGGACCAGGCTGCTCACGTGTATGGGGCAAAAACTCTTGCTTTGAGTTCACCTCATTCTTCATTTTGTTTTCATCTTGGTTCAAATGTCATCCCACGGGAAGCTTGCCCTGATTAATACCTTGCAGTTCTCAATATGTCAGCACGTTTTTTGAAGCTACCTCTAGCCTTTATGCATACATTAGCTTATAATTTATTCTTTTAAATTGTGCTCTGTGCCTTGTCTTTCCTACCAGATTCTGTATGAGAGCATGGATTATCTCATTTTCAAGTTCAGATCAAGTGTTCAATCTACATTTGCTTCTCCTAATAAGAATCTACCCATATTTGAAATAGTCCAAAAGGAGTTAATAATGGCTTATGTTTCTCCTTTCAGAATCACATACAATACAAAAGAATTTAGAGGCAGTTATAATAAATTTTTGATCTGGTATCCCTTCCAAGATTAGTATCTCCTATCATACCATGCACTAAAATAAATTCCAAAAGAAGAAAAAAAAATCCTTAAACCAGATTAGAAAAAAATGCAGAACATTGATCTTTTCTCAGGCACTTTCCAAGCAAAAGGCACTTTTAAAAAGAAAAATCACAAAGAAAAAAATAGATTTTACAATACAAAAATACAAAACTTTTACACATAAAAAAATCATATATTTAAAATATATCCTAGGTTTGTGTGAGAGTATTCATTGTAGCACTGCTTCTAGAAACAACCTTTCTTTGCAACCCATAATCTGGAAACTTAACCAAGAAATCTATCCACAGGAGCCTGGTTATGTTACTTATTAATCTGATAATGCGGCTATTTATAAGTGATATTTATTGATCTAAAACTGTGACATATTTGTTAAAAAGAGAAAACATTAAAAGTCAGCATGTATGATGTGATTTCATTTTATAATTTAGAAAAATATTTTGACATGTATACCAACTATTAATACTGATTATTTCTGGATGGTAGGATCAGGAATGTTTTCTCTGTTCTTTTTTCATCTTTCTAAATTTGTAAAATAGTTATGTATTTTATTTTTTAAAAATTCTGATTTTGAAACAAAATCATAATAAAACAAAATGTAGATGTCACTGGTGGGGGAGGTTGTGTGTGGAAGGAACAGGGAATATATGGGAATTCTGTACTTTCTGTCCAGTTGTGCTATGAAAATAAAACTGCTCTAAAAAATAAAGCTTATTAATTAAAATCAATGTAAACAACAGGAAATTATTTACAAAATAAGACAAACATTAAAAGCATCATTTAATGAAACACTAACTGCACTCTCCATCAAAATTCCAATGAAAAGTATAAGAAATATTTAAAATATCTACAGAAGAAACATAAATGATCAATACTATTTATAACATATTCAATTTCACTATTATTCAAAATATAGCACAACAAAACCAGATACGACCACCAAATATTTACTGCATGCCACTGTATAACAAATAGTGAAATCCATCCTTTACATTCATGATCTCAATTAATCCTATAAGATACTTGTAAGGGTTTATTTTCTTTTCTCTGTGAGGTTAAATATGAAGTTTAATGACTTGCCTAAGGTCATCCAAGTAGGCAAGCCCAGATACAAATACTACTCAGTCCACCTCTAAAGGGGTCGTTCCACCCACTGCGCAATATTGCTTCTCATCCTTTTTTTAAAAATCTCACTTCTTTGTAATGTTATTTACTAATATGGCTACATATACAGTGATTAGAAGTTAGTGTAGTACTTAAGCAAGGTAAAACACATTAATACCCTTAAAAGGATTCATAGTCTTGGACTAGCAATTAAGGAAACAATCAAAAATTTAGACTTAGGTACAAAGTTTTTGTTGTATTATTAGTCATAATGATTAAAAATTAGAAGCATCTTAAGAGCCTAATAATTCTTATCCATGCAAATCATTTAATAAAGTTCTGTTTTCAGAGTATTTACTGATATAGAAAAATGTTCATTAGATATCAAATGAAAAAGCAGATGCAAAACTGTATACACAGTGTAATCTCAATTACAATATAAATGTACACATACATACACATGAAAAATGACTGAAGGGAAATATGTCAGAGGTAAGAATAGTTATCTCTAGATGGTAGTGGCAGGAAATTTTCCTTAATTCTTCTTTGTATTTTCCAAATTCCCTGCATTGAGGATGTCTTACATAACCACAAAAATACAAATGTTATTTATAAAGAACATATCACTATCAAGTGTGTTATTGCAACCATCTTTTTTTCTGCTTCGCATATTTTTGTTTTTTTCTTTATTTATAATTGTAATTTGCCTACCAACTTCCATTTCTCAATAAAAATTTGACATATATGTCTGCATGCCATCCTTTTTCTGTCTGGAGTTCACGATATATTCCTAGAACAGTAGTCTGCAAAGCTCAAAGAGTAAACTTAACAAGTTTTCTGTTAGTTTGGAGATACATTTCTGGCACGATTATCCTGTGTCATATAAAAGGATAGTTGACTCTAATTCATTTTCACAGAAAATTTAGGCAATTTCTGGCTTTGCAGAAGCATGAACTTTCCCCTGAATTTTTATATACCAGTTATATTGTATAATTGCATTTGCATGAAATATATTTTACTACTACAATTCAGATTAAAATGATAATTGCTTTCAAAGGGAAATATAATATCTGAATTTTTTATTCTTTTAGGTTCTAGTTTGACTTTTGGTAACAATTAGCAGAGGCCAATATCAGTCTCCTCTTGTAGAAAATATAATTTTTATAGTATCCCAACCTAACGTCATGTAAACATGCAAAGGAAAAAAACAGTTCAACCGGGTGTGTGTTCTTCACCTCAATTAAACTCACACAGTTGGATACCTACTGTTGCCAAAACAGTAATATAATTTATACATTATAGTCCACACAGTAAAACTACACTAAAAGTCATTTAACAATATTTATAACACCATAAAGTACAGTGTTAAAATATATGAACTGCAATATGTACCAAAATTATAAAATTTGTTTCTCATCATCAGTGATTAAAACCAGGATCATTGCTCCAGCCTCAATACTCACAACCCTGGTGACAGATTAGAATTCAAATCTTAATGATCAATTTACAATTAACAAGATAGAAGTGAAACAAATTAAACCAACCATTATATATAACGAGACCCCATGGACTCCCATTGTTCCTCTTAATTACAAAACGCAAATCACAAATACACAATGGGCAGTGTTAGACATCAGTCCACAAGCCTCACAACCCAGAAAGTGGCAATGACAGAAAAGAAAGCAGCAAATCCACATAGACCCTGGTTCTACGCTCTATCCGGTTCTTTTCAGTGTGCAAGTGGTGGAAGCTAAAACCTAGCACACACTTCTCTCCACTCTGTGGCTGGCAGAGGCTCACTCCTTGCCAGCACCCAATCCTTCCAAGCTCTCCCAGGCCAGGTGTTAGATAGCACTGCAAACCGCACTGCAACGTTTCACTGCTGATTCATCTAAGTGCGTGGGGAGAGAGAACGCTTCCTTCACTTTGATAAAGAAAAATCACAGTTGTACCAAAGCTATTTAAATAGCTCCGTGTACCTCCCTCAAAAAACAACCCCATAACTGTAATAAGCTCTCAGAGTACTGGGGAATACAGAAGGAAGGAGAGCGAAAGTTTATGTGAGCCTCGACTAAAATCAGCCAGAATGTCTGCCTGGTGCCAATTAAAAGCAAAATGGAATTAATTCTCTTGCCTGATGGTCAAAAACAAGCTATATAAAATGCACAGAATCGGCAGTTCACTTTAAGTTTAAAATGGGACGTGCCATTCACAAATGCCAGGGTTACAGACACCACTACGTGCAGTGTGGAGTACACTCAGGGCGCAAACTACTGTGCTAATCACTATGGAGGCTTCCAGAAAACAGAAGCAGTCATCACTGCCACAATGCAACTTACGGTCTACTTGGGGAGAAAACACATGCAACAGACCCACACAAGCAGGTACCATTTCAAAACGTTTTCACAGAGCAACGGAGCAGCCTAGCATGAGGCTGGGGCAGAGCAAGGGCGTACGTGCCCACCGAGCCCGCGCGGCCAGCTTTCCCATCATTCCGCGTGGGCTCCAGTCAAATGACTAGACCTGTTTTAAATGGTAGGAATCCGCTTGTTTAGTTGGTATTTTGAATAACATAAGACTCTTAGAGTAATGTTGCTAGTAACAGAAGAGGGAAAAATATGTCTTAATTATTGTTCAATACAAAATAAATACACTTACTTTCAAGAAAAATTTTACTGCAATACTCTGAGGAAAAGCTGGACCAAAATTACCATACAGATTGGATAAATATAAAGTTGGAGACTGAGTTTCCACAATGACAAAACTTTGGAAACTCCAAGATTTTCCTTACCTCAAAGCACAGGGAAAATTATTTAGCCCAATAGTTTGGCATGGGGTATGCAGAGGCACACTCCTGGAGGGCTTCTTCAGGGTTTACTACATTAATAACTTGTATTTTAAAAGAAGCAGTTTGAGCCCTTCAAGTTTTGTAGGTGGTTTCAAAGCAGAAGGTAACATCAACATGGAATGTTAAATTTAACATGAATGAGTTATTGAAAATGTCAGAGTAGGAAGCCAGGGAGAAATGAAACCGGAACTAAAAGAAATTAAGAACAAACAACCCTAAAATCACAATTTGTCCTATTCACTACTCTCTTGTGAGGTGCACAAAATGCACTTTTCGTAAGTTTTAGGGGCGCTTAAGAGTTTTAAAACTAGGAAGTAACAATTTATCAAGTGTTTACTACTTGCCAGGCCTTGGTTGAGACAAATTGTAAAGTTAGAGTAGGTGCCTGTTTTAATTCATTAGAGTTACAAAATACAACTAGATCCACATTTTCCTGATCTGACTGTTTTAAAAAGGCTTTCACTGTGGCATAGACTTCTGTCCATCAGCAAATGACAGTCAGACTTTCCCCGGCAAAGACAACAGCTATGTCAAGTGATACCCAAATTCCAGTCAAGACCCTTAAAAATGCTATTGTGAAAACAACAGCAGCTAGTGTGTATTACAATGTGTCGGGCATTGTGCTAGGCACTTGATAACGTGTATGTAAGTGTATCTACATATATAATTCCAATTCCCATAACAGTCCTGCAGCGTGGCTTTGGAAATGTTTTTACAGAAGGAGAAGCTGGGGTTTGGGGAGATGAGGCCATGCACCCAAGGTTACAAAGCTCCAAGTGGGAGAGTGAGATTCAAATCTAGTTCCTCTGAATTGCCACGTGTTCTTTACTGCACACTGCCAGTCATCCACAATGGAACAGACTGGCATCAAAAGTCAGATCAGGAGGTGCGAATAGCACCACACCTATTTGTTTCATTCATTCATCATTTATTCATTAAGTGCCACCTATGTGTCAGATATAAAAGAATACATCCAATTTACAAAGCAGTGTTCAGGAGCTGGAGGAATGAGAAGCAGGAGAAGCAGTAGAGGTGCTGAGTTAGACCAGTACAGGCCAAGACGACAGATCTAGAGGAGGAAAAAGAGGGCCTAGGGGCAAAGAGTAAGTTAACTGTTACATGCCAAGGACACTTACTTCTCTACGGAAATTTAAAGGTTAATTTTTCCTTCCCAAACTTTCTCATCATAACTACTATGACTTGAATTTTCTTTAGCAATAAATGTAAAATACTATAATTACTGTAAGAAAGAACATATACTTTGGAACCAGAAATATCTAGGTTAGAACCCTAGCTCTCCCACTCACCAGTTATTTAAACAGTTTTGGTTTCCTTATCTGGAATATAATAATTTCTGTCTCAAGTTGTGGTGAGAATTAAATAATATATACCAAGCACCTTTTTGTCTCTTTTATATAATAAATTTCCCTAATTACGTTTCCTTGGAGAGCAAGATCAGTCATCATTCACAAACCAATTTTAGACCTAACACATTTATATAAAACCCAGATTAGTATCATTTTATCCCTAAATGATATAATCTGGTTTGTTTGCTTCTAACAAATTACTTTTGGACCTATGTGGTGCAAATCAAGTATTTCTGGTTAAGAATAGCTACTGTAGATATTTTATGGGTCTCTTTCATGACCAAATCATTTAGTTTTCATGGTCAAATCTCCTTGAAATATCTGGTATTTTGGCACCTAGGTTTTCCCCTACCAAAATACAATCTTAGTATGTGCTAGGAAGGTGCGCATGTCAGAGTACATTCTTGGTGGTTACAGGAGCCTCTGCCTTCCTGTGAGCAGGGAGAGTTGGATGCACGAGCCCTCTGATTCCCCAAAAGATTCAGGGATGGGGATTCTATCAGCTAAGACAGATTGTTGATGCAGGATCCCAAGATGGAGCTCAGAGTGATCAGATATGCCCTGATCCTCCCGGAAATCCTTTCCGAATGAAACATCTAGGTGAGCAGTTTGTTTGCTGAGACATATTTCCTGCTCTCAATAGATCTACGTAAGTTTCAGAAAAATACAGAAGAGAAGACACACAGGCTATTTTTTCATTATCATATAAAGTAATATTTGACATCGTATCAGTTATGTGAATATTGCCTTCTATAGTTCAATTTCAAGTGATTCTGTCCAATGTTATTCATTGACAAAAGAAGAAACTATAGTCCAAGTACGTCAAATACATTTGTCCAAGATGATTCAGTTACTGTCGGAGCTGAGATGAGGAGTCAGGCTTCTTGCAGTTTAAAATATAAAATAATTTATTCATTGAGATAATCTGACTAGAAAGTGTGTAGAAAAAAGTCATTAAGATTCCAATCAATGGATTTATAAAAGAGTAGTATGCCTATAAAATGAATGATGGCTGTTCTATTAAAATATAACAATTTTAGGGAAGAGAAGAATAGTTTTGGTGTGTTTATTTCAAAGTACCATCTACTTTCATTTTTATATATGCACATTTCATCTGTTATCATTTAACCTAAAGATAGCTTTTGTGTTCATGATGAATTGTAACAATAGATTAAAATGTGTTAACCATACCAATGTAAGATTTTATAACTGCTTGATTTATCTGCATCTTTATGTTATTACCATATTTTCTTTCCTGAAATTTCAGTTTTCAATTCTAAACATTAAAATGTCAAATAATAGTACACACATCATCATGAAAAAACATAAAAGTGTATGGACAATTAAGAAAATGTCCATATGTAGAAAATATTTTCAAAGAAAACATCAGCAGATACTTAATTTTGACATTATAAAACAGTGTAAATGCTGTTTTTTAAGGAAAAATTAGAGTAATCACATAAACAGTGCTCTTGAAAGTATTCTATAACATCACCTACCTGGTTTTTTGAGAGATTTGTTCCAGTTTCTTGGCTAATGTACAGCATTCTTCCTTTAACTTTGTCAAAAATGTATTCTGGGAGGTCAGCAACAAATACTGTTCATTTTCTAGAAATAACAATAAACCCCCACCAACATAAGATGTTTATGGTTGTCGCTCTGCAGTGCTTCCATACACAGAGTGGTAAAGTGCTTAGACCCCTACACATTTCCAATAAGCCACTACATCACCTTCAATGTCCTGAGTCAAAGGACTTATCATCTGGAAAGACACTCAATCTTGGGAGTCGTTTATTTTCAACATAAGTATACACCAGAAACATGTTTTTATCAGACCAGCTTGGTGTAACATTTTGACATGTTAATAAAGTGTCAGATACCTCAAGTGGAAGCATAGATACTTATATCTTTGTAATATGCAAGATATTATATTTTAATTTTGACAATTTTACTATAAACAGTGTCAAAAATTCTCACAACCAGATAATTCAAAACTAAAATCATCGAGGAATTCTCTTCTACACTGTAATTCATGCTTTGTTTCATATTTGCACACATGGTTTACTACCACCACCACCCCCCCCAATCTTGCATACACTTCTCTAATTGTGAAGGTAAAAATGTGTATTTTCTTTAGAATTTCAATTTCATTGTCAACAGCATGAGCTTCGATGGAGATCTGGTCAAAGAAATTGAAAACGGTGTGATTTTGTGTGTGTGTACAAAAGGAAATGTTCTTAAGGTGGTTTTAACAGTTAAATACACTCTCATCTAGTGCTGAGATTCTGCCCAAGACTCTGATCACTAGGATCATGCTAGCAGTGGGGGCGAACAATAATTTATCCTCCAATTTCCTCTTTTTGTTTTTAGTGGAGAAACATCTACTAAACCTGGTGAATTTTCGTTTCTTCTGGCCAAATGCTGTTAGAAGAAAATCTCTACTGAAAGTGCTAGAGGGAATTATGTGAGTCAATATGACATTTGCCTCTTCATAAGTAAATAGATTATTTAAAGGCTTGCATGTTAGCAATTTTTCACCTATAGGATAAGAAATAATTTTTACCGTACCATCAAATACAATATATTAATACATTAAATCATATGAAAATTACCTCTAAGCATAAGTTTTAAGAGTCCTTTATTTCTTTTCAATTTTAGCCAATGATTGGCAAAAAGCATACAGCATACAAATCAAAATAAATCAAGGCACTAAAATTAAGCAACATTTTTCTGGAAGAGACAGGATCAATTAAACTTTTGTTTTAATAGTACAATCAGTGTGGAGTATGTGGCGTGGAATTATAATGACTGACACTGTCTTGTTTTGACTAACACTGTCTGTGAACACACAACTCAAAAGTGAAAGAAACTACATAATGCTCTGACTGAACAAATCAAACTGTCTATTTTCAAAGTGCATTTTACTTTCAAATTAAAGGTAAAGAGTTACTGGCCAACTCAGTCTGCAGAATAGTGCCAATGTGATGAAAGATGGCAATTTTTAGCCAAGTTGCCAGCTGTGGTCAATGCCTTGTATTAGTGAATTTTAACAGCAGTTGTGAGAACTTGAAGAATGCAAAGGATTAAACATCACTCTAGATTGGGTTGGGGGAGGTGGGGAAATCATACAAATGCTAAAAATGTTCGAAGCTGCAAAGATTAAATAAAGGAACATATCAATTTGGAGCCACTGAATTACATCCAGCTGCGACAGTGAATTAAGAACCGATTAATGGCTAAAGCTTTTCTCCAGTTTGGATGCTGAAGCAAACTCATTAGGCTTTTAGAGTAGCTATAATGTGTGTACTGTGGGAACTGTTCAATGCTATTCAGGAGACTCTAACTGTAAGCTCAGAGCATTTCCCGCAGAGCTTCTGATGCTATTTTCTTTATATAACATGTGTGCCTGAAAACCCAGCCAAAAACAAGCCCTTTGTTTTTCTACTTTGTTGTGGTCTCTCTCAGCTTTACGTTTCTTGAACACAGGTAAATAAACTCATAATCCAGATGGTGCAACAGATGTGAGAGCAGCACTCTGAAATCAACAGACAGTGGGCAATACTTTCCATTTTCTCTTTTAAACGCTAACTAATATGTAATTCGGAATCTCCGGTGTAGTTAGCATCTGCTCCCTTCGGCCAGCCAAAGGTTACAGGTGTTCCTGATGTCATTTCACAGTAAGGCGTGGGCCTGGCTTGTGAGCGAGTGCCCAGGCTCTAATCTTTCCCTACCACCTACCAGTTTTGTCATGCTGGGCCTCCATTTGCTGTATCTTCTGTGTCAGCTCCTGCTCTCTTTGCTGGGCCTGAAGGGCTTGGGCCTTTGCTTCCTTGCTAAAGCTCTGCTGAATGCTATCTTTTTCTTGTCTGCAAAACAGAGAGGAGACATACAGAAATTTAATCTGCAGATGCACAAACCCCCATCATGTCCCCTATAGACCAGAGAGAGCTGATAGGTAGTAAATTGTTAAGCCTAAGAAGACAATGACCTTTCTATTGACCCTCCCCCACTTTAGAGGGAAAATCCAAACAACCTTCCATACAATGTTAAATATGTGTCATGAATGCAAATGGACTACAGTATGCAGTGTCAAAAAATCATAACAACTAAATAACGGTACTTTGTAACTTTAAAACACAAACCTTTTTTCTCTAACATTCTTAATGTTTTACACTACCAATGAATCTTTCATCTTCTGAGTGGTCAATATTTCCTAGAGATACTGGAACTCTAGGAACCGCATGATTCGATCCTTAAACAAAACTTAAATTCTTAAAACTAAGCTTTGTAGACCACTTCTGTTTTCACTCGAAACTTAAAATGGAATCTTAAACATAATGCAGGAGCCTCTATCTAGAGGCGAGTAAATGATTCTGCAGTGCCACATGCATGTTTTCACTAAATATCTTCACACATCAGGCCATATAATGTGAATATAAATACGAATATGAATATGAATAACTTCCCCCAGCACTTCATAAGAAAATCCCTCGTGGGTCACAGTGAAAGAAATTGCAGGATGAAAAGCTTCTGTAGTCAGACAACATCCCATCGTACTGTGATAGGACACTGACCTATCCCACTGGGTCAATAACCAAGCACAGTGGCTCCAAAGAGAGAAACTTCCTAAACAATTAGAATCTGGGGAATGCAAAGGACTTCAATGCTGGCAGCACCGTGGATACTGACAATGTGTGTGTGCATGTACATGTCCCGCCCCCCGCACACACACACACGCACACACACACATATTAGGATGGTTCTTCAAACTCTAAATATGGGGTAAGTGATATGAGGGTTTCCTTCAATTAACTGACTTAGTTATTTCTAACTCCTGATCTCCTTGTGGGCATTTCTCATCCATGCTGCTTTAGTTTACTAATTGAGATATTTACTGCTTAGCCTTTGCCAAACTAAAAATAAACAATTCCATAAAGCTATCACTACTAGTCTATGTACCGCTGTGGAACTTCAATTCACTGGCTTCTAATTATAAAGCAACATAAGGAAAGCCTGTATTAAAATTGGTCAATGCATGTGGTAATGTTGTAGTGTAAAATTCTGGAATGAAAATACACCCACACCTCACTCAAATGGAATCATCGGGGGTCCATGCTAAATGTGAAATAAGGTCCTGTCTGGTACTTCTAATAACACCTCCTCCCCCCGGGATGTGGTCCACGGTCTTACGTCGCACTCAGTTCCAAACTAGTATATACAACAAATGGACAGTCAGACTAGGCTACGTTTTGCCTCCCCAGTCACACCATGTATTTTCTGGTCATGGATCCCTGCATATGTCTCTTCCTCTTCCCGGAAAGCTCCGCCACCTGCCCACTCAATCCCCCTGTAAGATGTATACATACCACTACCCCCTTCAGGCCTAGCTCAAAATTCTTCCCCTCTCCTTCCTCCCTCCTGAATTAACTATTCTTCCCGCAATGACCTCAATATATGTTGTGTACAATGTACAAAGATAGTATGTATCACACTTTAGTTATTGTTTTACATGCCTACTTCCTTTGTCATCTTTGTCTCTATACCCTCGGCCCAGCTCAGTGCTTGGCACACAGAAAGTGGGCAGTGAATATTTCAGGATTGGATGTTGTGATACTCTTGTCATAGGGGAAAGGAAGGCTGCTATCTTTATGTGTAGCTGGAGAATCTGCTTAAGTCTTACATGAGGAGGCAAAAACTTTTCAGACATGTTAGAAAAAGTTGCTTGGAAGAGAATGGTTCTAATGGCTCGGCCAGTTGGAGACCATGCTGCTAAAGTAATCAGCTTAAAAAAAGCCCTGTGGACTCTAACCATCCCCAGGTCAGACCCCCCGCTGGGGCAGGAGACAGAGATAGAAACCTGGGGCTCTGCAACCCCTAACAATTGGGTGACATAAATGCATTCTCCAACACCAATACCCATCTGGGAGTGAGAGGGGCACTACTAATAACTATATGAGGATAATAGTCATAACTGAAACTACCCATCACAAACTGGTACTTACAGTTCCCCAGTGTAAAGGGGTTGTCAATCTCACCATCAGTTTTCAGAATAGGCTGCCTAATTACCGATATTCTAAATTGACTATAGGCCAGGCGCGGTGGCTCACATCTGTGATCTCAGCATTTTGGGAGGCCGAGGCGGGTGGATCACTTAAGGCCAGGAGTTAGAGATCAACCTGGCCAACAGGGCAAAACCCTATCTCTACTAAAAATACAAAAATTAGCTGGGAGTGGTGGTGCACGCCTGTAATCCCAGCTACTTGGGAGGCTGAGGCCGTAGAATCACTTGAACCTAAGAGGTGGAGGATGCAGGGAGCAGAGATTGTGCCACTGTACTCCAGCCTGGGTGATAGAGTGAGATTCTGTCTCAAAATAAATAAATAAAAATAAAAAATAAATTGACTATAGAAAAGAACTGTCATAATTGCAGTCCTTTCTATAAAATAAAACAAGTTAACAGACTTCTACAAACAAATGTTGAGTTACACATCAACTGATGTTTCTTGAATCCTTCCCCAACTTTCCCTCTATTTGGGAAACTATACATTATGTTTCATTGCCTAGAAACATGATACAGTCTTGCTTTCCAACCTCCTTTCCCCTTCCACTTTCCTATGTTGCCTTCTCTCCCCTCTTGCAGGTTCTTTCTGACTTGGTAGGCTTTTTATAAATTCCCAGAATGTTAGAACTAAAAGGGAACCTCAAATGTGTTTCATCAAACCCTCTCAATTTACAGTTGGAAAAAAAAAAAACCTACTAAAAAATCCCCAAGGGTCACAAAGAATTTGAAGTCTGCTTATAGGTTGTACAGCAAATGATTTAAAGGCAGAGGTAGGATTAAAATATTTTTATCTAGGGAAACCAATTTTATAATACTCTGGAGCTCGGGTATGCAATCTTTTGGCTTCCCTGGGTCACACTGGGAGAACTGTCTTGGGCCACACATAAAATACACTGAAACTAACAGTAATGATTGCTGATGAGCTGAAAAAAAGAAAAGAAAAGAAAAGAGCATTACACACACACAAAATCTCATAATGTTTTAAGGAAGTTTACAGTTTGTATGGGGCTTCATGCAAAGCTGTCCTGGGCCGCCAGCTGGACAGCTTACTCAGCTTGCGGCCTCGATGGTTTTGAATGCGGCCCAACACAAATTCATAAACTTCCTTAAAACATTATGAGATTTATGCACGGGCCTTTTTGTTTTTTTCCTTTTTGGCGCATCAGCTGCCATTAGTGTTAATGTCTTTTATGTGTGGCCCACAATGCTTCCTCTTCCAGTGTGGCCCAGGAAAGCCAAAAGATTGGCCACACCTGCTCGAGAGGTAATACAATAATGGATTCAAAAAATTGTCAAAAGCACTTAGGCATTCAGGGAACGACTAGAGAAGAACGTAAATCAATGCATTAAAGAGGTATCATACCTCTCTTATGTGAAAGGCACTCTGCTAGGCACCGGGTCAAACAAAGAAGACATGCTCCTTGCCCCTAGCAGGGAGTTCAACGTGGCCAAAGAGAAAGTAGATGGTAAAATACTTGGTAAGAAAGGTACAAGGGGGAAAATTTACCAAAGCATAACAAAATGCGAGTCAAATCCAGCTGGGTGTGAGAGCCTGGTGAAGGAGAGTCAAGCCAGTCTCTCCAATTGGTTTGCTGTAATTCCCACTCAAAACACTGAGTAAAAAAGAATTTCTTGTTAGTTATGGAGCTGAAATATTTATTCACAATCACTCAAAACCAGAAACAACTTAAATGTCCATCAACTGTTCAACGGATAAACTGTGGTATAGTCTTACCATGGCTAGGAAGAGTAGAAATAAAAAGGAACAATGCTACATACAGCACTTGGTTGAACCTCAAAAGTAGTACACGTAGTTTAAAAAGCCAGACACCAAAGACATATATTATGATGTCATTCACAGGCCATTCAAGAAAAGTAAACACTAAGGGACAGAAAGTAGATCCGTGTTGCCAGGATTTGGAAGTAGGAGAGGGGTACCAGGGAGCAAAAGGGCACAAGGACACGTTTTAGGTTGATAAAAATGTTCTTCTACGTTATGACTATGATCTTTCCACAATTCTATATATTTGTCAAACCATCTTTACCTGCACAGTTAGAAATTGGTGATATTTTATTATACTTAAATTTACCCCAATAAAGCCGATTTTTAAAAGGAGCAAATCAGTGGCTCACACCTGTAATCCCAGCACTTTGGGAAGCTGAGGCAGGTGGATCACTTGAGCATTGAGCCCAGGAGTTCAAGACAAGCCTGGGCACCTGGTGCAATCCCATCTCTACAAAAAAATGTACAAAAATTAGCCAAATGTGGTGTTGTGTGCCTGTAATGCCAGCTCTCAAGAAGCTGATACAGAAGGATCACTTGAGCCCAGGGAGGTAGAGGTTACAGTGAGCCATAACTGCACCACTGCACTCTAGCCTGGGTGACAGAGTGAGACCCTGTCTCAAAAAATTAATTAATTAATTAATTAATTAAAGGAGCAAATGATCTAGAATAGGAACATCCACCTTTATTCTCCAAGTTATTCACATCACCTGCAATCCAGGCATGTGTGGGCCATGTCAATGTTTTCTTCACAAAAATTCAGAATTAAAAGGAGTGAACAAGGACTGGCTAGGCCTCAAATACAGACTACATATACATGGAGGCATAGTCACTCGTTTTTACCAATTATAGTTCTGGTTGATTGCATTTTCTGAAAATAGTCACAATGATATTTACCATCCCATTTTTTAGAAATGGGACTGAAGCATTAACCTTATATTTTTGATACTCAACTTTTTCATATCATTTATTATTTTAAATCTTGCAATTTAAAAAATGTTCATGTCACAGAGCAAAAATGA